TGAATTTCTCCTCCCTCTGCAATTGCTGCATATCTATGCCTCGAAAGTCGTTGATGTGATACCTTGTGTTTTTGTAGGGGGTCATGTAGCCTTCCATCTCCTTGTAACCCGCGTCCGCCAGGTAGTACTGGCCTACAAGCGATCAAAACAGTGACAAATCAGCTGTCTTAGCAAATTGAACACAAGTATGCTTCAATGCATCTACTACAAGCAAACAAATAGGGTATGTGAACAGCTAGGCATCACGAACCTTGTGGGGGATGTGGGAACGAAGCGTCGTCCTGACAGTCTTTCAACACCGCCATGTCATGACATGCCCCCGCCTTCCCGGCCCCCACGTATGTGAAACGGCCATCCATATCCACGATGGCACAAACATTAATTGTTGTTTCACCTTTCCTATTGAAGAAATCAGCCTTTGCTTGACGGTTAACCTCAACCTTTATGTGCGTGCCATCTATAGCCCCTATGCAGCCATCAAACCATGGTGACTGTGCAGCAAGTTTTTGGCTTACACGCATGTAGTGCCCATCTCTGCGGGGACTAGGACTGTGTTTGCCCCCGGTACATTACCTCAGCAACTAGTGTAATCTTCCGGCTAACTGTATCTAAAGACCTTTCAAACCTATCATTGCACTCTCTACTAGCCAATTGGTGGGCACATGTCCAAATGTACATGCCTAGAGCTTCTACCGAGGTGCACTTATCTGTTACTGGAAGGCCAAACGGCAGCAGTGTTTCATGCAAATGCATGAAGTCATCACGACGACATCGCAAATTCTCTAAACATTTGGTATGGTCGCAAGCGTAAGTTTGCATCCTTTGGGCTCCCGATAGCTTAGGAATGGGAAAAGGAGGATTTACCTCAGGCATTTGCGTTGACATAAGCCCTTTCAGTAGGATGAATGCTGCCTTTGCCACGGTCACATTGCTCGGTCCTCTCCTTTGGAAGTGTCATTTGTCTGACGACTCTTGGTCTTGCTCATGCTTGCTCATGATGGTACCTAGAAATGGGCAGCAATAAGTCAGATTGTATTGCCGATATTAGGAACAACACAAGTGCAAATATGTGAACATATGACGATCCTTGAACTAGGTAGGACCTTCAAAACAGGTTGGAATGTACAAGGGAAAAGTGATACATGCATAATGTGTTACAACACTCACACCAGATACAAATTTTTTTATTGAAAACATAGACAACGACATGCACTAAGTTTTCCACAATGTTCTTTGCTAATACGGAAAAACGAACCTAACGATACAACAAACCGAATGAACTCAACATGCACATGGTGGATATCCGCAAAAGCGAGGGAAAAAACATGGATTGTCTTTGATCATTGGGACTTCTTTGGAGGACACAAAGCCCCATATAACTTTGATCCAGTTTAGTCGGCCCTCTTTAGATGTCATGCCTAGAAAACCCTAACGACGACTGTCTCGCGCAAAGTTCCGGTGCTTGCACGAATACTTCATCACCTCGCTAATACCATCTTGCATGCAGAATCTCTTGGACTTGGGCCAACTCCGAGAATCGTTGTTACGACGGGCCTTACGGGACCTAGCCTCTCTTAGAAATTGCCCGGGTCTTCAATGCACTCTTCTACGGATGGAGTTTGGCTACTCTTCTTCTTGCGAGGATCGTTGGCGAGAATTCCCTATGGACTCTCTTCGAGGGCTGATGACTACTAGGTGGCATGATCGGCTCGTCCGACAAGGATGGAGGAGTGCGAGGGCTTCCATTAATGGGTGAGTTGTCAGGTCGATGGCCCCCCGCCGATACCAACTGGCCCCTGTCACGTGGGGTGCGTCCCAATATCGTGATCAGTTGCTCACATCATTGGGGCCGTTTGAACTTGTTTCTAGCGGGTTGGCTACTTTCCTGCATGTGTTGCAGTGATGGTGAAGTTAGTACTGAGTTAGTAGGAACCTAAGTGCTACAAAAATTAAAAGAAGTGTGTGTAGTTAGTACCCCAGGGCTGGCGCCGTACCACTCGGGGGGTCATTTGTAACCTCTCGGTCGGTGGTCACGGCCGAGCTCGTATGGAGTCGGGCCGTCGCGCAGATTGAAGTAACAACGTTTCAGCTCGTTGTACTTGTTCTGGCACACTTTCTTGCTGTACCCAAGGTCTGTGACTTGGTTGAAGTCATGAGTGATGTTGGTCCACCCTAGTGGGGTTGGGCCGTTGGCAGGGGTCCAGTGACAGAGCTCTTTCTGCTGGATGATTAGGTCAAGAAGCAGAGAGGTTGCTCTGTCATCCCAGATAGCACGGTCCTGGCTCATCTGATTCAAGGATCGACAAAACTATTAGTAATCTGGTGAGTCACAAAATCATTGGTATAGATGTACTAATTGATTCATAATGCGTTCTTGTATCATGGATAATACTAGTTGCCTCAAAGTGTAGGAAGCATACAACAAACCAAAGAACTAAATAACTACAACACTAGTCCTATAAATGAATTATAGGAGTGAATTGACATTGTTCTAATTGTCCACCACAGCCAACCCCTCAGAGAACATACAGAACAAAAAGGAGACAACAACAAAGGCAAGACACACAAAAAACACAGAGGAATCACAGATATGTGGCTTGTGTCAACAGAATGGAGGATGGAACTGCACAAAAGGCAGAACTTGCTGGAACGTGAAAACTGAGCATACATTCAATAAATGTCATGGTGAAAAGCAAGAGATGAAGAAAGCAAAATAACCACAGGATTGAGCATGGTGCGTAAGGAGCACCATCCAGTGTGACCGTAACTTGCCTTTTGTGGCCGTTTGCGGCGTTTTGAGCGGAGGTTGTAGTGGCTGCCACCAGTTGGAGAGCAAGACGAAGCCGACGACGCTGCCAGTTTGGGCAGCGCTGATCACAACCGGACGAAATGTCCCTTCTAAGTCTGCAGTTCAATCATAGAGGTCAATTGTAAGATTGAAAACCTAATATGAAACATTTAACATTGAAAAAGGGTAAACAAACCTGAACATGTGTCTTTGTGTAACATAATCCCTTCGCTTTCCGACTCGAGTTATGTAGAGTATGTGTGAATATTGAAGCAATGATAAATTAGGCAAAGATCATTGAATAATTGCATCATACAACAGTCAAATAGACAACAGCGAAGATCGGGGGGCATTGTAAATATTGTGTTCAATTGCTATCGTAAATCAAATTCTTGGTATAGGTAAGCACATTTTGTAATCTACAAACCATTAGAAATGCCCTGTAAGTCATAAGTGACTAAAACGCAATGAAAGCAAACAGAAATCTTAGTAAAAGTTGGACCATGCAAGCAAAATGATTCCACAGCTAGTTGCATGAGAATCAAATGACACAAGTGCACCGAAGATATATATCTGAGTAACCTAGCATCTCTTCATGTACAGAAAACATTTAATAACAAATCTAGACAACTGAATGCTGAATGCTGAAACTCACGTACTGAAGACAAAGCAAAAAACATATGAACCAACTCACGTACTGAAGACAAAGCAAAAATTGTTCAAGAAAAACAAACCACTTGGATGAACCAACTGAATGCTGAATGCAATGAAAACCATGAGTTGTAACACTCCATACTTAGCATTCAATATACAACTATAGAAGAAACTCATTAAATCAGGTCCAGTTTGAAATATGATGAACATATGATAATATGAACAAACTTATATATGTTATCGCCTACTCATATAGCAAAATACCAAGAATATTGTTCACAAAAATGGCACTCCAATCAAATGGAATCCTATGGAATGCTGATAGTGAATGAAGACATTAGTTCTAGCAGTCAACTAATATTTTGCAAGCACACAGGGACACAGGAGGCACAATACTGATTAGGAGTTTAAGACTACATTCCATAGAATACTTAGCAGGTACAAAAAAGCAAGGGGGAGAGATCAAACTTAGTGTTTGGTAATATTAGATCAAAAAGAGACATGACTACATGTTGGATCTCAGATCCGGCGGGGTCAAAGTGCGTGGCGTCGGGTGGTGGTGGGGGGCTTACCGTGGTGGAAGGAGTCGCCGTTGATGGAGGCGGGGTCCGGGGAGGAAGGCCGAGCCCACTGTCACCGAGGATGGGGAGAGTGAGGGAAACCCTAGCCGCGCGAAGCTCAACCTACAAGACGACCAGGTGAGGCTCAGAGGCGGCATGGTGAGAGGACGAAGGCGTGGGATCCGGGTTACCTCGCTGGCCGAAGTCGTCGTTGATGGAGGCGGGGTGGGGGAAGAGGACGACGACAGTTTCCCCGCAGCCCCGCCGGGGAGGACGGAATACAGAGGCGGCCGAGCCCGGATCTGGGGGCCACCGACGGCGGCCGTGGACGCGGTGAAGGCTACCGCCTGTACCAGCGCGGCGCGAAGGCGAGAAGCGGCGCGTCAGCGTGAAACTCTAGCCACCACGAGCGAGGTGAGGAATGGGAGAAAGTGACGGACGCAACGAGTTGACAATGGATATAAGCCAGCCGTTCGGCTGGGCTGGCGGGTGCTGGGCTTAGCCCAGCCAGCGTAATGAACAGGCGGCATATACGTACCGATGGGCTCCTACGAGGCGCCGTCTGCTTGTTCCGGCTAGGATATTGAAAACGCCCACCCCACATCGCATGGGCCTCGTGACGTCCCAGGACCACAAAACCACTCAAGAAACCTCGCGTAGCTTCGCCGCGCGGCGCGACACGCCACGCGCCACGCGCCACACGCCGCCAGGCCGCGTCGGTTACGCCGTGCGCCAACGAACCACGCTGGCGCTCGTGCTCGCGCCCCTGTTCCGCTCTTCCGCTCCGCTCCGCTCCCCCCACCCCACAAAAGCCTCGTCCTTTGCGTCACCTCGACGCCACATCTCTCCGAGCCCCACCCGCCGAGCCGCTGCCCCGCCCCGATCCGTCCCCCTCCTTCCCCCACCGCCGACGCGCGATGTGCGGGAGCCGGAGGCGGCGCCGCCAAAACCCAAGCTAGGAGTGGGAGATTCCGATCCTCCAAGCGCGCGCACGCGCCATGGAGCCGCTGCCCCGGAAGCGCAAGGGCGCGCCCCCGGCGTGCTCCACCGCCAGGTCCCTCCAAGATTTGGCCTCCCGCAAGCGCGCCTGCCGCGGTTCCGAGCCGCAGCAGTCCCCCCGCCGCGCCGACGCGGCCGCCCCCGCCGTGGTGATGACGGCCCCCGCGGCGAGCGGCGCGTCGGCGTCGGCGGGGGTCCTCCCGGGGCGCGGGCTCAAGCGGAAGGTGGGCTGCATCGACAGCGCCACGCGGATCGGGCGGCGGAAGCGGCTGGAGAGCGAGTACGACCTCGGCGAGGAGATCGGGCACGGCAAGTTCGGGTCCGTCCGCGTCTGCCGCCCCAAGGCCGGGGCCGGGGCCGCCGCCCCGGGCGAGGACGAGTTCGCCTGCAAGGCGCTGCCCAAGAACGCCGGGGACACGGCCCACCGCGAGGTGGAGATCATGCAGCACCTATCGGGCCACCCGGGCGTCGTCACGCTCAGGGCCGTCTTCGAGGACGCCGACGCCTTCTACCTCGTCATGGAGCTCTGCCACGGCGGACGGCTCCTCGATGAGGTGGCCAGGGAGGGTAAGCTCTCGGAGCGCCGCGCCGCCAATGTGATCAAGGAGCTCATGGCCGTCCTCAAGTACTGCCACGAGATGGGCGTCGTGCATAGGGACGTCAAGCCGGAGAATGTTCTGCTCACCAAGGCTGGAAGGTTGAAGCTTGCAGATTTTGGATTGGCCGTGCGAGTTGCTGACGGTGAGTACCTAGAATGATTGCCACTTCTAGGTTTGTCAGTTCACGTGTATATATGGTTACTAATGAGTAGTCGATATGATTCTGTTCTGACAATGTAGTTCCCTGAAAATGCTGCCAGATCAGTAGATCACAATGGTGGAGAACGAGAATTACTCAATATAGGAAGATTTAATCACATCAAATTCTTATGGTGTTGTAGTGGTTACTATCTTGTCGTTGTGCTCAAATTCTGCATTAGGAAGAATGGTTTATTTTTGCTAATGCACACATAAAACTAGGTCTTTGGCAGGGTTTTCCAGTTCATGCTGCATTTGCACATTGTCACTAGCATAAGGCATTTTTCAGGGGATTTGAAATGTGCAAGTTGTGTTTTCAGTGATGACTTGGTATCAGGTATTCATTCACTGTGTCATTTTGTTTTGTTAGGTCTGTCAAGAGTCGACGTGGTGCTAACTTGGTAGTTGCAGTTAGTTGTTGTCATCCGGAGGTAGTTGTTACTTCCATGGAGTTCTGGATATTTGGGTTCACAGCATCAATAGAATGACATCATGATGGTCAGGTAGTCAGGTCATCGTTACCGGTTCATCGGTCTTGTGGTTTTAAGGCATTTGTGTGCGCTAGGTATAGCAGCTTAACTGGTTTTAAGGCCAGCGATAATTTGCTCAATTATTTTGTCAAGTATTAGCAGTTTTCTTGTGTATGTGACCAAACTAACACTAACATGTCTTTGTTTTTCCTGTAAAATTATGTATGAAACCATGGTGTGATTATATTGACTGGCCTTACCCTGTTTTCTTTCAATGCACTCATCGTTGTACAAGCAATATGGTGAAACTCAATTCGTTGCATATGACAATTATGATTTTTCTTTCTAGAATATTGACAGATTGTTTGATCATTAATTTTCTGAGCAATAATCATGGCTATTCTTGTAGTGTCACACAAATAGACCTTTTTCGTTCCGAGCTCTAGCACATTGATTCTTTGGCGAAGTGATTCTATTTGATTCCAGTGGGAGAGCAAGGTGGGGAGCAGAGGATTGATTCTGGAGTGATTTTGGTGGAAATTGAATGGGGAGCAGTGAGGAGCATTTTTTTAGCTCCTACCAGAATCTGTGCGCAGCTTTACTGTTTGGCTGAGGAGTGATTCTCAGGGAAAATCCGCTCTGAGGAGCTGTGCCAAATGCCCCCTTAGATTTTGTGTTATGATCTGGCTTCTTTGTTAATATCTGTTAGATCTTTATTTTACTTGAGGTTACAAAGGTGTTCTCTGGCTAGAAAAAAAGTTGCATCTAGGTCAAAACTAGATGATGCTTTGAATCGTGTCTTTGGCTCTTTTACTTGCTGCAGGTTTGATGTTCACTAATATGTTCCTCAACTTTGAGCAGGTCAGCAATTGATTGGTGTTGCTGGCAGCCCCGCATATGTGGCACCTGAGGTTCTACTAGGAAATTACTCGCAAAAGGTAGATGTTTGGGCTGCCGGGGTGCTTCTGCATGTTCTATTGATGGGCACTCTTCCATTCCAAGGAAATTCTGTCGAAGCCATCTTTGATGCTATAAAGACTGTCGAGCTTGACCTTCACAGCAGTCAGTGGGCATCGGTGTCAATGCTTGTTCGCGATCTCATTGGCCGAATGCTTAATCGAGATGTCTCTTCAAGACCCGATGCCGAAGATGTTCTCCGTAAGTTCAAGCATCCTTATAGCTTATGCTTCTTTGATGTGATTTCGCATTGACTCTTCCAATGGCTTTGAACACAGGGCACCCCTGGGTCTTATTCTACACCGAATGCCCGCAGAAAGCTGAATTCTCTGAACTATGGGGTACTAACAAGACTGCAACTCCCATGATTCATAGGGAGAGAGTTAGGTTTGATTACTGCGAGTCTTTATCTTCAGAATCCTCAAGTGACAACTCTGAAGAGCAAGATGAATGTGGTATAGTTGACGCACTGGCGACAGCAATAACACAGGTGAGGATATCGGAGCCCAAGAGGACTCGGCTGTTCAGCCCAGCCAACGGGCTGTTGCCGCCAAGCAGGAACACTCTCCGAACATGAAGAGGAATCCGTGTGTGGCTTTCTGACTTTGACCTACCTAGCCAGCCCCCTTGCTTGTATATACGAGCTCTGTGATTTTGTAGATGTAAAATTGTTTGCCGTGGTTAATGTTTTGCAATTGCTAGCTCGCTGAGGCTGCAGTCCTCTGTAAATATATCCACTGTTGTCATCGTTTTTCTTTACATCGATGACGCCATAATTGATTCGTTTTCGTTTCGTGCGCGTGGAATGGATAGTGCCATTGTTGTCACGGTGCGTTTGTGGGCTTCTAAAGCGTCCAAAGCGGCGATGAAATACCTTCCTTTTCGCTAATGTTTGATTCTTGTTCCGTTGTTCGCTGACGTTTGCGTTTGTGGGCTTCTAAAGCAAGAACTTGTTCTGCTTGCCCTCTGGGCCTTAGGTTGAGCACTCGTACGCAGTGGGCCGGTGAGAAAAGGTGCCCTCTGGGCCTTAGAATCAGGGCCCGTTTGGTTATAGTGGAACGAGCCTAGGAATTATTCCAACTGTCGAAGCTTATGCAAATTTAGTTAGCATTCCTGCTTCAAATTTTTCATGATAGTGTAACACCTTAAAATTTGCTTTTTTAGAAAAATATATAAATTGATTTAATTTTGTATTTTGTGCTCATGGAATATAGGAAAAAGAATATTTTTCATTGTATTAAAATTCATCATAGTAGCAATATGGTTGTGCATACATGCCGGTGCATTTGATTCATTGCAATGAGTGGTTGAATCCAAAATGCAAAATGAATTCAAAATACTTTTGAAATTGGCTTTGAAATAAAAGAAAAGAAAATTTGAAAATAAAAGAATTTAAAAAGTTGTAAAAAATTATTTTTGGAAAACTTACCAAAATTTCTCATTTTTATTTGAGTGAAAAATATATTTGAAGCTCTATTTGAATTTGATTTGGTTCATAATTGAATTTGGTTTTGAAAATAAAATATAAAAATATTTGGAAAATAGAAAATCCTTCCCCCACTCAATCTGGCCCGCGGCCTGCTTCCCCTCCGCAGCCCCAAAGGCCGCTCGGCCTTCCTTTCCTTCGCGCGGCCCAGCTCCACCTGCCCTTCCTCCCGCTTTATCTCTGTCGAGCTGGCCCAGTAGCAAGCGGCCTAGCGAAGCCGCACCGTGCTCCTCTCTCCCGCGCTTCCTCTGTCGCTGACTTGTGGGACACGTTTGTCAGCGTCCTCACCGTCTTCTTCCTCGCGACGTGCCCGCGACGAACTCTCACCGCCGCCGTCGGAGGCTGCTCCACATACGCCTCGCCGCCTTGCCGTGCGCCCCACGCCTTCTCCGGCCTTAAATACCGATTGCCCGCACCATGTCGCCTCCTATCCTAAGCCTCGGAGCCACAGCCGCCTCACCGAGACGCCGCGCCACAACTAACCCTAAGCGCCGCCGCTGCCGTCGAGTTCGAGCCACCGCCGTTGTCGGTTTATTCGCTCTCCGTCGCTGAAATCTATCTCGATGAGTTCGCCGTGCTGCCCTCTTGCTTTTTATGGTCTCGGTTCGCTCCGTCGTAGCCTGTAGACTTTTCTTCGAGGTCTCCGGCGAGGTCCTCTGCTCCCCGGTCATGGTGCCGTCGCGCACAGCGCCGCTCTGGCGACCCCCGTTCCCCGATTTGATCTGCACCGTCCGATCTGTGATCAAGGGCCAAGAATAGAAGATACCCCTTCGCCGGCCGTTTTGCTAAAGAGCCCTCGCATTTTTGTAGATTAGAACCCACCGTCTAGCGTAGTTCAAAATAATTCAATCAATGCCTCTAGTTTTTATGTTTTGACCCCATGTGTTTTCTCAAAAACGACGCCAAGTCCACAGAGAAGTTTTAATTCGTTTTCTTTTATTTTAAAACTAAAAATGAGTTCAAAATAATTATAAAATTCCCACTGATTTTGTTTTGCTCATATCATCTTCATTTTAACTCCGATTTGACCCGTTCAAGTTGCGTTAAATTCATAATTGAGTAATCTACATGTTCATCCTACTGTTAAATATATTTTAACTTTTAAAATTCGAGGTTAGATTTGATTTATTATTTTATTAAAGAAAATCTTGTTTAATTCATAACTTTTTCGTTATAGCTCCGATCAGAGTGCTTTTCGCATCTGTGTGTTCGTAGTAACATGTAGAACATCCTTAAAACCTTTTTACCTATTGTTTATTATGGTGTATTGTTCTAATTTATTTCTATTGTTTGCTTCGTATATGATTGCATGGATGTTTGTGTGGTGCTATAATCATGTGTAGTCGGTGAGCTATACGTGGTGAATCAAGAAGCGGAACTTTGAAGATTTGGATTGGAAAAAAGATCTAAGTTTAAGGCAAGTATAGCATGAGATCATCCTTGTTGTCCTATACATCTTTAATCATTTAATTCATATTGCATGTGTCTACCTTGATTACCACTAAGAATTTTCTAGTATTTTGTACCTTGTGCCTTGATACCTTTGGGTTATTACATTGGGTAGTTTGATGCTAGTGCTCAACTACAACCATGATCTTATAACTTGACTAATGTAATATGCAATAAACACTAAAAGATGATGTTTAGCAATATGGAACCAAGGGGCTAGACCATTGGTTTATTTTTATGGTGTTCTAGATTCCTCTCCCTAAGGACTTATCTATAAGTGATTATCCGGGACTTACAGTACAGCTGTGAGGGCTACATGGCTCTGGCTTTAGCTCAGTATGAGAATATTTTCTATCTTGTTAGTGGTTACTTTTATTGGCGTAAGAATAGCTTGCCTAATCAGGTATAGTGCGTCCCCCTGTCTCCTTGTGTATAGGCTGTGAGTCATTGTGCTATCGGAAAAGGGGCTCTACATCTATTTGCCGAGTGAATCTAATGGCACTAACTTGTTAGACGAACCTTTGAAAGGCTTTATAGTGAACCCTGCCGATCTTTCTTGGAAGTGGGTCAAGAGATTAGCTACCTCGGGCGAAAGGGTAAATCACGACTCACAGTGAAAGTGTACAACCTCTGTAGAGTGTAAAACTGGTATATCAGCCGTGCTCACGGTTACGAGCGGCCTTGGAACATTTACGGAATAGATGATCATTAATGGTTAATGATGATGAACACTGATGATACTGATGATGAAGATGCTCATTAATGATTACTGTTTATGCTATTCATTATTCATGTTTACCTGATCATGTGTTTATATGGGCTTATGGATAAACTTGTTGCCACCCAATTGCTAAAAGATGACTCATTAAAAGCTAATCGCAGTTAAATCAGTGTTAGTCTTTTGAGCCTTATGAACCCCATATTATATTTGTTGAGTACGACATGTACTTACGCTTGCTTTACTTTTTAAATCTTTGGAAAAATCTCGGATGGGTACCAGATTGCTAGAGTTTGGAGGAATTAGGCTTGTGATCAACCAGTCAGTTGTCCCTGTGAATTGGAATCTTTCTCTGAAGATCGGAGTTATCTATCCGCTGTTTGCTATCTAAGGTTATATTCTTTATACTAAGTACGTTATATATTATATTGAGCATTGTCTATTGATATTATCCTTATTTATAGCTGTATGTGATATTTGATATTCTGAGTTCACATGTGATGTATATCTGGTTTTATTTCTTAAACCGGGTGCGACACATAGTCATTCCCGGGAACGAACGAGGCCTTGAGAAATTTGCAACGAGCAAATCTATGGAGCGACTGCATGCAACTTCCTCAAGTTGGTGGTGTCCGCCTTTTGGAACCGACGGATCCGATGTCGGACTGGACGGAAAGCCCCCCCGTGTTGTCTCCATCAGGGCAGTGTTTTCAGCAGCGCAATCGATCGACGAAACCCTCGGTTATTCCCGGGGCAGGGGGGCATGATGGGCGGCGGGGAAAAGCCCAGACATGATGTGCTCTTTCAGTCTCTTGCTACTAGGCCCCGTACTGTCTAATAGTGTGCTAACATGATGGTCGTTTTCTCTTACAACATCTGGCCAGTTCTTGTTCGCCGCTCGGTCGTTTGTGCATGGCATGAACAAAACATCGATCGATCGCCTGATCGATTGCTCCCGCGGTCCACACGCACGGCCAGTATAGGAGTACGTACGTAGCTAGCTCGCATATACTCTAATAGCCACAAGGCTAAATTTGAAGTCATGGCTACCTCGCATAGCCACATGGCTGCCTGCTCCACATGCGCTGCCGTGTGGTCGCATGCATATGCATGGCCGGCGTCCTTTGTGCAAGGAGAGCTGGAGAGAAGGAAAAGCGAGTGAGGGGGGAAGAAAGAAATCATAGCAACCATGAGGGTGAGAGTAGAGACAACGATGGACTGGAAATGTCCTGCTCGCAGCTCGCCGCAGTGTGCCTGTGTGCGGTCTGCGGTGCGCTGCCCTCGGGCCTCGGCTACCTCACCTGGCCAATGGCGTTGGCCTGCCCTTGCCCGGCCGGCTCGCTTCATCTTCATTGCTGCTGCATGCCTGCGCTGCGCGCGCACTGAATGCTGGTGAATCTGCTGCGCACTGTTCGTGCACGGGTAAATAATTACGACGCGCAACGCTGTTCGTTTGCTCGTAAACTATCGTAAATTTTCAGTCAGAAATAATGTTTTTCTCTTACACCAAACCAACCAGCAGTAAATAATCCATGATACGATACATCCTTCTGAAGAGGCTGAGTCGGCAGGCGCGCGCCTCGTTTCGAATTACCGCGGTGAAAAGAATCACCGTACGAGAGGGAGACAGTGTGAAGCGGGTGCTCCTTGCTCGATCAGCTTTGCGCAGTTTCCGCTGAAAGTGTTGCAGCTCCAGCTAGTAGCCATCGTGCAAGCGGTCAGGAAATTGTCCGTACCGACCGAACCCAGCCAGCTAGGGTGTTTTCGTTCCATAGATCCAGGGCCCTTGCCAACACAGGAATTTCACAGATTATATAAGAATTTCACATAAATCACTTCATTTTTCACGAGGAAAAACACAAGAATGAGAAAAATTCCCGTATTTCAAGGGGCCCTAATGAGGTACTACTCGCTTAAGCTAGAA